AAGATAGCCCTTTTCGAGCACTACAAGCTGCATTAATCAAATTTTAATTTCTGTTACTCCTGCAGCTGGAAAAAAAATAAAACTAATTTTCCATGTGAATTTCCTATATCCAAACCTGCCTGGGACAGCCGGTATTAAAAATTGTGGTCCGTTCACAACACACTCAAATCACCGCCAACGATGACGCCAAATTAAAAAAAAAAACATCTGTTAATAGGCATCGTGAATTCAATAAACTACATTTTTTTTAATGTCGAATCAAAAATTTGGTTAGGTTCATTATTCCTCCTGAATCACCCTGTCTATACTTCCTGAATCACTCTCTATTATTCCGCATGTTCATATGTTATTATGTAATTAATGAAAACACTCCAAAATAAGAGTACGACTTGACGTTATAAGATAGATAACATTGTTTTGGTAAAATTATTTACAAAAAAAATATGTATAGATATTGATCTATAGATTGTCAAAAAAATCAAACTTTTTTATCAACTTTGTTTATTTACATATAATAATATATATAAACAATAGGAAATTGCAAATTACCAGTACTTGTTTTTTCTTTTTCGAACAAAATGTTTCGCTTTTCATTCCTCTTATTTATATTTCTCTTAAGTATCAGTCGTCAGTGTTTATGTCTTCATGGTTAAGTTATGATTAATAAAATTTATATGTTAATGTAACGTTTTATTGGTTGATTTTTAGATTATTATTGGCGAGATTACATTGATGGTGAGGTGCCCATAGATGCTGTAGTCGGAGGTAAAGCTGAAGACGGTAGAAACGTTTATATCGGACAAGCATATATACAAAACCAAGGTGACGTAGTCTGTGAAATATTTGATGGAATAAAAGAAGTTTATGTTCCAATAATGCATGCTAAAGTACAAAAAGTAAACGAGAATATAAAGGTAATATAATAGTCAAAAAAACGCATAGTTTTATTTTGATTATTCGTTTATTCACAAGCATAAAGTAATAATCAAATTATCTTGTATGTTGGAAGATGGAAAGTATGACATTTCAACTTTATATAACTTGATAACAATTGATTAGAAATATTAGGTTCAGCTAGGGAATTCTAATCTCTCGATGCATAACTCGCTTGTTGTTGATTCTAAAATCCTCGGTAACGAGTAACGATAGCCAACCTTAAAAAATGTCCCTAGGCGGTTTGCCTGTGTTTATTAGAACCTCGATATGTTATCTACTATTATTTTCTAGATACTTTGTGGCCTTCAACAAAATTTACATTGGGTTCCAACARATTCTAAAAACGTGCACAAGCTACTGGTTAAWAATATTGCAGTGCGTGGTGGTCATGAAGATGGATTGGGAGAACTGAACATTGGAAGAATAAAWATTAACGGAGGCTTTAAAATAGGAAAAATTGATACGTTTTACGAAACAGATGTTCCCATGTTTTATAATTATAATTTWAAAGAATTAASGGCTTATTCTTACGAAATTCTTTTGTACAARGAACATATTGGATGAGTAAAATAATTGCTAATAAGGAAATGTAGTTAATATACTTTCTAAGAGTGYAGACTTGTGTTTTTATTTCTATTTTGATCAATAATAAATTAATACATTAACTCTTCAGAGTAACTTTTCAGAAGAACGACGTAATACGTAAATTCTCCATTTTGT